AGATACAATCTAAGCAATCGTGACACATATTATACTAGGTTCACCGTAAATTCTGAAGGGTCACTGTTTATAAATGTCATACAGGGTGTTCACAAAATCGTAACAAATGTTATCTTTTTCAAAGTAAACTCTGTACTTTTTAACGGAATGTGATAGATCTCAAAATCTACAACTTTCGTAATAGGTGTTATATATAAATTCCTCATATTTTACGATATTTTTCGCAATTTCTTTATATTTCATTTTTTACGTAGCGTCGACGTACTAGAGCTAAAGAGTTGAAACAAAGAAGCATTGCTTAAAATGTATCTTTAATTTTTGCAGAAAAGAGCAATGATTCTAAATTATGCAGATTTCTTATTCTCATTGAATTTTTAGTGAAAGAGACCTTTTATATATAAAAGATATATTTATTGATAAAACAAAGTTTTATTAAGTGTTACAATAGATGTTCAAAAATATTGCCTCTTTCTCAAATACACAAGTTAATTTGGCGAAAAATATCAATATGAACGTCATGTACCATTTCTGGTGTAATATCAAGCTTGTCTTATTCTATTTATCATATCCCTCTATACATATACCCTGTATTTTACAAATCCCACAAAGAAAGTTAAGCGGTGTAAGGTCATATGATATAGGAGGCCATGACAGTGGCCCACCTCGACCAATATATTAGGATTCTTTACTTGAGAAATTCATTACGAACAAAAGAACAAAACCATACAAACAATATTGATTAGTTAAGAATAACTATTTGAATAATAGAAAAACGCTACTAAAACAGTCAAAGCTAATGACAGGAAAAACAATTGATAGTTACAAACATTTCTTTTGTTTCACTGCCATATCAATGCCTCTATAGAATATTTTCATAAAAAATAAAGAAATTGCTAAAAATATCGGAAAATATGAGGAACTGATATATGTATAACACCTATTATGAAAATTGTACATTTTGAGAAGGTCTTTCACATCCAGTTCAGGATAACTTTGGCACGATTTTGTGAAAATTCTGTATGACATTTATACAGTGAACACTTCAGAATTTACGGTGAACCTAGTACAATATGTGTGACGACTTCTTAGATTGTATCTACACGAGTATATCAGCAACGATCAAGTGTAACGCAGAAAATGGCATTTTTATACTAAATATTTTTGACACATAGACACATAGTACGTATTACGAAAAAATTGCATAATTCCATGTAAAATATAAATATCCACTCAAATTTAAAAAAATATATCTTCGGTGAGCTTTCCGAAAACGAATCACCTCGTATAAGTCAAATTATTTTTAAAATGTGCATTTCTTGTCCCCCTACACGAACCTATTTTGTAATGTTTTGCCTCAATTATATTCTAGCGATAAATTAACTTTGTCACAGCATTAACTCACCGTGTATAGAGTTAAGGCTATAGTGTAAAAAATTAACCAAAACACTTCGAATACCTACTTTACTCCGAAAAAATAATGAAATACCTATGCATTATTGGAAACATTGGAAACATATTACGTATTAAAGACAATAAAATTATCCCTTAAAGCTATTATACTCCAGTCGGCAGAGGCCGAAAAGTTACTGTTGGTGACATTTTATTGATAAACCGGAAATAACTACACAAGAATACTTTAAATGATGAGTACAATAACAGGCTAATTTGCTGACAGAGTATTTTATCAGGAAAAAAGTTATTAACAATTTAATCGTGAAAAAAATTTTTTTTAGTAGTTTTCTTTAAATAATTCAGCGGGATGACTTTGTACGAAAAAATACTTAGGACATGATTTTGTTCGTAATAAAAATAGCTACAAAATGGTGGTGGTCCTATTACGACATTTGAAATAACAAAGCCGTGAGATTGAAAAAACTATATAAAACTCCAATTTCTTTAAGTTGCTGTAAAAATGTCAATTATAAACAAAAAGTGATAAAACTTTCGAAAACTATAGTTCAATATATATACAATAATGACGCTAAAGCCGAAAATCAGGAGAGCAAAACTTTTTGTTCTATAAGTTTTTATACATCCATCGGCATCTGAAACTCGAAACTTTGCCAAATTTGTTTGAAGTTTTGCTGACACTTGAAATTTGGTATACACATAGTGTAAATATGCAGAAACCAAAAGCAATTTGCAAAATTCAAGTATCTTCATTTTTGCAGTTTTGGTCAGGTTTTATATGTCACCCTAGTTTTATACGTCACCGTTTTTTTTAATTTTTGGAAAAATATATATGTATATTTATAAAATATTCCATCACGGTAGGTTAAGCAGCACAATTACCTACAATTAAAAAAAAAAATATTTTCATCGTTTAGATCCTAAGCTACTTAACATTTTGCGCCTGTTAGCCGTAGTCGTACATTATTCAACATATCAACATAAAACAGAAACGTACGTGTGGGGTAAACCGCTCTTCGGCGCTTGTATACTATTAGAAATATACAACAGTAAATTTAAACAATTATTGTTTACTAAAGGTTAAAGGTTTACCCCACACGTACGTTTTTGTTTTATGTTGATATGTTGAATAATGTACGAGTATGGCTAACAGGCCCAAAATGTTAAGTAGCTTAGGATCTAAACGATGAAAATATATATTTTTAAATTGTAAGTAATTGTGCTGGTTAATCTACCGTAATGGAATATTTTATAAATATACATAAATATACGTCGATAAATTAAAAAAACGGTGACGTATAAAACTAGGATGACGTATAAAACCTTACCAAAACTGCAAAAATGAAGATACTTGAATTTTGCAAATTGTTTTTGGTTTCTGCATATTTACACTATGTGTGTACCAACGCACAATAGGCCTAATTAGGCCGCAGTGCTATGGGACTTTTTAAAGGACCAACCACTAGATGAAGATGAAGATGAAGATGTGTGTACCAAATTTCAAGTTTTAGCAAAGCTTCGAACAAATTTGGCAAAGTTTCGAGTTTCAGATGACGATGAATGTATAACGCCTCATAGAACAAAAAGTTTTGCTTTCCTGATTTTCGCATTTAGCGTCATTATTGTATATATATTGAACTATAGTTTTCGAAAGTTTTATCACTTTTTATTTATAATTGACATGTTTACAGCAGCTTAAAAAAATTGACGTTTTATACCGTTTCTTCAATCTCACGGCTTTGTTATTGTAAGTTTCGTAATCGAACCACCGCCATTTTGTAGCTATTTTTATTACGAATAAAATCATGTCCTAAGCATTTTTTCGTACAGTCATCCCGCTGAGTTATTCAAAGAAAACTACTAAAAAAAAATTTTTTTTCACGATTAAATTTAAATAAAAAATTAAAATATAATTTAAACTTTTTTTCCTGATAAAATACTTTGTCAGCAAATTAGCCTGTTATTGTACTCATCATTTAAAGTAGACCTGTGCAGTTATTTCCGGGTTATCAAGGTTTGACACAGGCCGAACCTCTACGAACTGGACTATTAAGAAACCTTAGATAAGATGAAACGACGGTAATGTTTATTCTAATAACATTGACTACACAAAGTGATTTCTGAGATCTATCCGCCACACGTTTTCACATCTTATGTAAATTCAAGGGTTTATCTAATCAATAAAAAAATATAATAGGTATTCTATTTTTTTTGTGCAGAGTTGTTGGTTATAAATGTCACATCACCCTAATTTTCCTATAGTTAAGTTTAAAAAAAATGTCAATTAAAAGAATTTATGTTAGCAACTAGAAGTATTTCATGTTTGTATTGAAATTGATATAAGGTATTTTAAAAGTAATAATAAATTAAAATTATGATTATTTTTTTATTGGCAGATTACAGTAACATAAGGTTTGATTAAACATGTCGCATTACGTCCATCAAATCTTATATCATGTTAATCCTGAAAAATTTGATATGAAAGAACATTTAGTGTTACATAAAATGAAATCATAAGTTTCGCCTTTTACGAACTTCCTATGTAATATCATCATAAAATATTTCTAGTTTATAGTTGTTATTTTCTTACACACCTTTTTTTAAATTTAAAAATAAGAAAGTTAAGGGGTTTGTAACCAATAGCTGTCTACCTACAACAGAAAGGTTCTTTTTCAGCTAAGAATATTGTTCCTTAAAAAGACTACCTACCATGTAACACCCTCTCAGTTTAAATGATTGTTCAGACGTGCCTAATGAATTGAATAATTTTTCTTTGAATGAGTTGTAATAGTACAAGGAAAAGCCTTTAGGTGGTTTATGTAAAACCCTTGGAAAAACGAAAAATTTACTGCAATATACTATCTCAGTGGGGATCCTCACATAAAAGCAAATATAAACACCGTCGGAATATTTGTTCTATGTGCAAATAAAAATGTTTGCTAAGTACTGCCAGAAAGGAATATGCAGAATGGAGTAAATGTGGTAATTTGCGAGTTGCACTATATGAAAATTGTACACGGAGACACATTGTTACTTTGATTGGCTAGCATTCTTCAGAAACGTCTAAAGCTTATCCACAAATATTTCTTTTTAATTATAAAAATTATTAAGATGGGCCAGTGAAAACGAAATAACTTAACAAAAAAGGTCGATCGTGCTTTGAAGGGGAGCATCTTCAACTTTAACCTTCTAGAGAGAGTTGATTCCCTGAAAATTTCAACGTTTTAATTGATGACCGCTCCCAATTTATACCGCGGTTCAAAGCATCCACATTTGTGATGTTATTCGGTAGTATTTATATCGGACTAATTGGCAGTAATCTTTTAAAAAGGCTGACGGCATTAAGAAAATGTTCATAGTTTAAGAGAAATAAATTTAGTAAAAATAAATATAGCGATCGGGTAAGTTACTCAGATTTTTTTTTTAAAATATATGTGACAGCGTGTTGGAAATTGACGTTAACCATTCGAGGAAAAATTTTTATCAAAATGATATTTTAATAGAATTTAATATCTTTATTTAAATATCCTAAATATCCTTAATTTATAATTAAATTATATTGAAAATATATATTTTTTTTAATTTATCAGGTACTACGACGACGGTCTACCAGCTAGACTCAGCAACGACAACTACATTCACAAGTTGCTGATCACGTCGTCCACCAATCCTAAGGTATCTTACACCACGTACTACACCGAACCCATCAGAAAGTACATCGGTAAGTTCAAAAGGTCTCTTCTCAGAAAATGCCAGATTAAAGCACTAAACACGATTTGATTGCTTCAAATCCTGAATTAGTATAGCTTTGCTTTAGCTAATCCGCTTGCGCTAATCTTGTACGGACGAAATATTGATACTGTCGTGTCTTACATAAGCACTACGTGTTCAATATGTGTTATATTATTGTTATTTACTATGTTAAAGAATTTTATACATGGCACTGTGTATATTTTTATTACCCTAATCCTAGTTTTTCAATTTGGTTTGTCACACAAACATTTATTCCAATAACAATCCAGCACTATTTTGAAATTCTCATAAATGTTTATCCCTACGTCATACTCATAGAAACTAAATTAAAAATGTCACTTCTATTGATTTAAAACTAGAGATGAACAATTATTAGCAACATATATATTAATCTTAAAATAATATCTACTAATAATGTTACGTGGAGAGAAACACGTAGATAGGTATTTTTTACTTATGAATAGCCATTTAGTAAACAAGAAATTTATAATCTAACAAAAAATATTTACCTATGATTAAGCGTCACATAAAATTGATTTTCTATGGCTATATGCAAGAGACTGAAACATATTTTTCTGAAACTTGAAATGAAAAGTAAACAGACATACAAAAACAATTTAAAAATTGATGTTTTTGCTGAACTTGCCTTGGGGTCGTCTCTAGAAAATACTACAGGGATAATCTAAAATCAAAATAATTATTTTATCAGATTGTTCCTTCTAGAGAGCCATATTTTTTTATTAAACGGAAAAGTTCTGGGGTATCAAAACAAAAGTTAGATACAGGGTGTTCCATCTAGATGTCTAGTGTCGAAGAACATTCTTTGATTTCATTTGATAATATTTTATTTAATTTGTTTGAATTAGCTTAATATCTTAAAAATGAGTAAAATCATGTGAGAGCTAATAATAGAACAGATGTATTTTTAAAAAATTATGCAGTCTGTACTTTATTCTAATTTAAATTTACATTCTTCATACAATTACAGTTTAATTACCGCCTACTCTGATATTATTATCATGACAATTTTTGTCACACAAACGTTATTTCGTTCAAATATACCACGGAAGCTACTATGTGAAATTACATCACTTGCTAGTGCACATACAGAATATCAATGGAACTTCGCTACCCTACTTTATTGTATGCAACTTGCTCTGTGTCCTGAATATGTTTACACAAATTCTGCATATGTCAATTCCAGAGAAATTCCAGTTTGATATATGATTCTCTAAAATTGTCTTGATGTTAAGTTCAGGACTGAAAATAATTATTCATGACGTGCTTGCAGAAGTCTAGTCAAGTAATTGACTGAAGGATGTGTATTCTGTATTTCCTTTCTTTAGATATGGTTTATTAAAATAATACGTGTACCAAATTTTAAAACTGTCTTTTAATTGAAAATTATTAGAATATCTACCTACTGCTAGAACAAAGTGTTAATAAGAAAATTGGGGTTTTGTAACTGCTCTAATATTGAATTGTCGAAAAATATGCCATAGATAGTTGTACCATTACTTTTATGGCTAGAACTACGCCTCAAATTTATTTTCCAAATACCCTGTATTATACTCTCCAGATCATATTTCGAAAATTCTCTGCTCTAGAAGGAATGAGATATTAAATTTCGTATATTTTAAATTTTAAAATGTGATTTTTCAAAATATATATGATTAATTTTTTATTCAACATCTGAATAAATCCAACAACGTCATTTTGTTACAAAACTGATTGAAAATTAGTATTTTTCACAATTTTTTATAGAAAAGGCGTGTACGTTATTAAAATTTATTCTTAACTTAGGATAAGGCAAATTGTGGGTGAGCTCTTTGTTCAAGCTGACCTAGAAAATGAAGGGGATGTTACCTTGAATGAAATATGAAACAAAGACAGTGCCTTTCTCCTTAAGCTTTGGAAAAAGCAGCACATTGTGTTAGCTTTTAAATGAATGCGGTTTTTATCTTAGTACAGGAAAGAATACACAATTTTAATTAGACTTAAAGACTTAAGGTACATTTAATTAAATTACGTATTACCAGAACAAGAACGGTTTAACATTTCCAGTAGAACGCATTTGCAAGGAAGAAATTGATGAAAAATTATGTGTTTATAGATGAATTTTTAGTTGCAGAATTTTACAAAAAATGTAAAAAATCAGTTTTTTTATTTCAAGGAAGAATCGACTCTATAACATCAAGATGTTTCTGAAACTTGTAACATAATTGATATAATTGCTTCGAAATATAGACAGTAGTTTTTTTTTGAGAATATTCACTATCAATTAGCTCCTAATTGTTACAACTAGTATCTCAAAGGCTCCAAGCGTATTGTAATTTTAAAGAGGTGGGAGCTAATGTAAAATTAACCTTCTCCCTACCATTAGTAACACAGTTTCCAACTGTTAGCATCGAGCATATTACAGCCTTATTTTATAGGCAACACCTAGCAGTCCCATTTTATAGCTACACCCTAATGATTTCGAAGTTATAATTTCAAAAGGAAGTAAGGGGGAAGTTTGGAGACGACGTGGGTGGTCGCTACCTATGAATTAATGTTATTATAAAGAGCATACCTACCACTGAAAATTATCTATTGTATCCTAGATTGTGTCTGAGAAATGAGCCGACTTAGTTAATGGTAAAGATATACATATAATGTGTTACAAAAATAATTAAAAAAATTTTGCTGCGATGTGTTTTAGTGACATTTTATGTTGTTTTTGACGTTAGATGTTTTATAGAATGAAAACGTAATATTCCATTTACAGAAAAGGTGACATTGTCAAAATGGCTGAAAAAGCACAGTGTTTTAGGAGAGGCAGTAGCTAACCACCTCTAGTTGATGATCAAAAACTACCAACATGTATTTACCACTCTCAAATACTTACGTATACAAAGTTAAATAATTTGTTAGTAGTAATTGCTGCAATTTTCGGAAAAATTCTAAATGGGGAAGGGAGTTTAACGAAATTATCTGTATAAGTTCAGTCACATATCAATCTTTTCCCCTCTATCTTTTTTAACTTTCCATTTAGAGAAAAATAGCATACATACTAGTCTTAGTAAATTTCCTTGTGATGTCAGAAAAGTACATGTAAAAACTATTAATAGCATATTGCATTTCTGAGATATAAACCAAAAGTTTGTCTTTTTGAACGGACCATCCTGTATATTTATGGTTTTTTGATTACACCAATATCTACATAATTATCACGTATTTGCTTCCACAGTTTGTACAACATTTTGGTATATTTACCCCTGCAATAGATAAAGTTAAGATTGCGAACTCTTTGCTGTTAAATTTACTAAACTATGAAGTCTTACATCTGATAAAAGATTTTCCCTCATTCTGGTTTAGACAAAATACATAATATAACTCATATAAATTATTATGTAGTTCTTTGTTTTCTTTATCTTATATTGGGGCAAATTAGGACTTCTTACCTTAAAATTTCCCTTTCATAAGAGAGTTAAAAGAATGTTTTTTTTTTAAACAGAATATATACATATTATGTATTTGCTTTCATTTGCATAATATTTTGATATATTTACTAAAAATGCACAATGGACAATCATGTAAAATCCAATTCAATGGTAATTCACTGTAGCAATTCTAATAGAACTAAGCTGTAATTATAATGTTTTTATAATATTTTGGGAAACAATGGTATTTTTGGATGTTGCACTTCCTGGAAAATGAAATATTATAAATTATTTTATAATAACTATTTAAAAAAGACATACTTTTAGCTATCTTATAAACAAGCAATTTTATGATCAGCAAGAAGTCCTGATCTGACCTCCATGTAGTTCTTTCTATAGAAAATAGTGGGAGAAAAAGTAAATAAAGAACGACTTAATATCTTAAATATCCTAAGGAAGAACATGTTGAACGCAGTTAATAACATCAATGAGATGGATGAAGCAGAGTATTATATTCTTTATCTGGAACAGTATGATGGAATATCTTTTATAATAAGATAATTTTCCAAGAATCGAAAGAAGTTTTGTAAAGGGTATAGCCGATGAAACATTTCAAAACTGCACCAGCGTCTAATGAAGAGTTCTTACCTTGTATCTATTGTGTTTAGAACGATATTATTCTTAGAACAATACATACAAGAATTCTTCATTAGACGCTGGTGCAGTAAGTAAACCAAAATATTATACAAACTGTTGAAGCAAATATACGGCATGTATACATTGCTGAAATAAAAAAATAGGGGATTTCAAAAAACAAATATACAAGGCGTCCTACTTAAAAATAACTGTTTCGTTTATATTTCGGGAAGGTAACATTAACTTGTTTTTATTTATGTACTTGATTAACACCGCAAAGAAATTTACTTTGGACTTAACAATTATTTTGTAAATAGAAAGGTACAAAAGATAAGGGGGTAGAATGTTATTAATTAAAGAGGTGCAACGTTTGACTAAGGCAATTTGGTGCATTGTTCTGTTCTGAAGAACTGTGTCCCATTCTAACGAAACAACCTTCAGTATAGTTGGTTTAAAGACTTCACTGCAACAAAAAAGGGAAACAAAAGTTTTTGTCTTTTAGATCATACTCTATCTATTTTGATGTTCTCAAAATGAATTTCAGTGTTAGAAAAAAATACGATGTGTTTTCCATAAATCACCTTCAAATGAGCGATATTTCAGGTTTTCTTGCATTTTTTAGGTAACCTCATGCCACTCTCAAAAGTGTGATGTGAATAGAAGTTTTTGACATTAGAGACTGCGTATGAAAGGTTGAGGTACAGATTTCCAAGCTATAGAGTATCACCAATTGTCACTTCTATTCCTGCCTCTTTTGGATATCCGAGACCTTGTCGCCAAAGATTTCCTTCCTCTTGAACCAACCATTCTAGGTTTTTTATTCTGGGAACCTGTGAATCTTAGTCCCTCAGGATGAATGTTGACTGAATTAAAAATCAATCAACATTCATCCAGAGCTCAAACCCCAAGGCATTCACCATATTGGGGAATAAATTATATCACTGAATAAAAGTTGATGGCATTGGAGAAAAGGAAAACAAGATATTGACTGTCAAATAAACCGGAAAGTAGGAATTCACAGACACCTAGTTCCATTGAGAAAATGGAGCTCTTGACCCTATTGACAGTCTAGTGAAAAATCACAATTTTGTTTATATCACGCAAGTCTTGAGTTTACCAAAAAATTCCAGAAAACCAGAAATATCGCGCATTAGAAGGTGAATCGTGGAAAACCCTTGCTTCAGAATTTTTTCTAACCCTGAAATTCGTTTTCAGAACATCAAAATATATAGGTAAAACCGGGTCTGATCTAAAAGACAAACCTTTTTTTTTGCGACCTGTGTTATCGAGCAATCCTTGAGTCTGTACAGCTTCCGCGCTTTTGGACCACCGACGGTAGTTTCCGCAGTGGTCTCAGCCTGCTTGACGCTCAATGCATGAACGCTGCGCTACATTTGTTGCCCCTACCTGTTATTGATTTGGGAGTGTGACCGCCTCTAGGCCAAGGCCGTCTAGCGTCTGTCTCGTATGCAGGAGATAGGGCCTACAGCCGCCGGCCGCACATCTACCTCTACGACGACCCTCTGAAGAGCGACATCCAACTGCTCAGCTACTACATCAACAAGTTCAAGCAAGACAAAGCTATCGCAGCATCTGAGTCATCGGTTCCGGCTAAAGGTACGGTTTGGGATTCTTAGGTTCTCGGGGACGAATGGGTTTTGGCGTTCTAGAGGGCTGCCTCTCGGAAAGTGAAAACGTATATCTTGATTGCACTGGTTTTATTAGTCAGGGAATCCAAATTCAATTTCATTTGTTGAACAATGTTGTTATTTAGGTAGACATTTCATTGAGGCAATTAGTGAACCAAGAGAACAACATAAAAATCAGATCTTTCCTTTTCATGACGCTTCTTGGCATAATTAAATCGACCGTTCCAATTTTCACCACAATAACGCAGATCTACTCCTTCTGAATTTATGTCACCATATGAAAAATCCAATTTTTTGTTTATTTGGATAAATTCCCACGTATGAACAATTTTAAATATTATTAAACAAAACTTTGCAACAAAACTGATTAGTTGAGGGATGTTTCTATGAAATTGTGTTTGCTTAAACTAAAACACATACACATACAAAAAAGGAGATGTATTTAAAATAATCTAATTTTTTAAACCGACGCACAGTGAGCGAAAACGCTCAAAATTCTGTGTAAGATAGTAAAAGTTGTATAAATTGGGATATATTTTTTTAAATATTCGTAATTATGCTTTCATTATGCTATGTCACTGTGATAACTGCGATATTTTACGATCTCAACTTGCGATAAACTACAATAAAAACTTACTTGATACCATAAAATATGAGCAATATTTAGCGAATATAAGAAAAGTAAGGTATAGGTAAATATTACAACCAGTTAATTGTAAACCCTTTAACCACACATTCTTGAAACCATAAGTCTAAAAACCTAATAAACCTAAATTCATTAAACTAAACACAAAAAATTCAGACCCATAAAATTTAAACCAATAAAAACTAAACCCACAAAACCTAAATCAACAGGTTTATTGTTTCAATAATTTGTCGTTGAATGGCTTACAATTAACTACTGGTTTTAAAATGTATACCTTACATTTTTTATATTCGCTAAATATTGTTCATATTTTATGATATCATTTATGGGAAACATTTCTGATTGTAGTTTATATGAGTATTTAAAATATCGCAATTGTCACAGTGACATAAAAAATCGGATATAATTACGAGTATTTTCAAAAAATATATCCCAATTTGGACAACTTTTACTACCTCACAAGGAATTTTGGGCGTTTTCGCCCATTGTGCAACGTTTGTAATTAATTAAACAGCTTATATTTTATTGGTTGCTTTCATGATCTTTATATTATGTTTAGTGTATTATTATAATTTATTTATTAATTTAATATTTGTAATCAACGAGGGTCTAATTTCAGGGAATAATTCAACGTACGAAACATTCTTATAATTTTCTTTTATTTGTACTGCCTTTTTTCAAAATTTTGGGGCAAAACCCTATTGAACTATGTGACGTTTTCTGAAGTATGAAAATTGGGTTTTTGATATACCTATTCAATGTGATTCGACCAAAATATTGATGAAATAATATAGTGTTAAAAGAACCCCTCGTTATTTAATTAAATTGCAAAAAATGAACCAATTCGTGAATTTGTTGATTGTAAATATTGAAAGAAATAATAATAAAAAATATATCATGAGTTAACTTAACCAACTTTTAAAATTTCATAGGTGGCAAAATACCTAAATAAGCAAGGATTTTCTTAAGCTACTAATTAACATTCTTCTTAAATACAATTTTACATTCAGAAGGACTAGACTTATTAACAATTTAATTACGATTTAGAAAAATAATAGTAACATCACCAATTCTCCATGTGGGTAAGAACAACTGATTTAATTATGTATTGAGGCAAAATATTGATTGATTATTTGCCGTTTCTCGTCAGTGCATAAATAAAAAAAGAACATGAACTTTTTATACTACTTTTGATTTACTATTTATACTAGAAGAATCTCTTGTAAATAATTGTAGATATACTGAAAACTGTTTATTTTTACCACAAACCAACAAAATTTTACTTTTTTTTGGAAGCAGAAACTTATGTATTTCCGAAGGATTTAGGTGCGCTGAATCCGAATCTAGAAGCAGAATTGCTCTATCACGTCACGTTTTTGAGATATCCTAACCTAAAAGTGTAAAAAACACTGTTTTTCGTCATATTTGAGGTTATGTAGTAATGCCATCTATTCTTTTTTAAAAAACTAATACATTGAATCTAAAAGTACAAAGCTCCCTCCTTCGAATGAGTTTGCTCAAATATCTTTTTCTTTTCGTTGAGATATCACATGTTGAAATTTTTAAGTTTCTCAGTTTCTTAATATGCGAAAATCTACTAAGGATTACTTACAATTAGACATCAAGCAGTCGATTGCAATTCAGAAACATCATACCCATACGGTTTGTGGGTTTGGAGTTGGTGGGCTTGGGGTTTGTAAGCTTGGAGTTTGTAGGTTCGGGTTTGGTGGGATTGGGGTTTGTGGGTTTAGGGATTGTGGGTTTGGGGTTTGTGGGTTTGTGAATTTGGAGTTTGTGAGTTTGAGTTTGTATGTATTGAAGGTTTCTGAATATGAAGTTTCTGAACTGCAATCAACTGTTTAACGTCTAAGGGATCCTTAGTAGATTTTCGCATATTAAGAAATTGATAAATTTTATAATATTTATAAGACTTACCTTATTTTTTCAACACATTAAAAAATCTTGAAACACTTTTTTTTGGCAATAATTCAATTGCCAATTTTTTGAGGATACTGCTGTTAAATATGATTTAGCATCATTTATTTTTTTTACATTCAAGACATATATTCCCAAGAAATTTATCGTAAGTTCGTTTCTTTGCAAATCAAGATATACATTTCACTTAAAACTACGCTCTCATGCTTGAACCGCTTTGCTCACATTCACATCGGTGGAACATTGCTTTTAGATCTATCTAGTCTATCATTTCACTTCATCTAAAATAACTAGCACTTCTTTCTATGAATAAGAAGGATTAACCTCACACTTTATACCACTGTTCCAATAGACTGTTAAATGATGGAAATCTACAAACTTCTGTACACTTTAATTTACAGAAAACGTTCCTATTTACATGTGTCCGAAAATACTTCATTTTTAAGATATAGGGTGTTAAAGTTAAAAGAGAAATTATTTTCTTTTACCTAAAAGGAAGAACTGAAGAGATGTTTTTCAATTTGGCATGTAGCTTTAGTTACCAGTTAATCTAAGTTTAAGTTTAAAGGTAAATGTATACACTTTTTTCTTTTTCGTCGTTGTCTGGTTACCTCCAGACATATTCATTTATCAATAAAATCAAACATGGTTAGTCTATATTTTATATTATTGCCGCTAAAATCATTTTTCAACTCTTTGATATTAAGTTAAAGGTGTGCGTAATTTATTATCAAACATTCTGTATATACAGATATTATTTTTAGGAATTTAAAGACTGTCCGTTGCCTTATTTTTTAATAAATATTCCTTATTAAGGAAAATGATTATTTGTTGAATTTAAAATATCTTTTTACTGCAAACTGAACTGTTAAACAATTAACATTTATTAGATACATTTCTTTTCTTTATCTTGAGAATGGTGTTCTAATGTTGCTAAAATGGCTATAAAAGCAAGTTGATCAACAGAAAGTTTTATCGGAGCATAGTACATTGACGTTGTAAACCAGTCGTTTGGGTAGAAATATGCTTATCGAAAGTCTGACAAACAACTCTATAACTTCCGAACAGTACGACTGAGAGAGAATCTGTGAACTTTAGTCGTTCGTCAAGGTTTTTTTCTTTGACATATGTTAAGGAAATGAAACTGAATTAAACCCTTAGCAAGGGCTGGATCTCGACAATAATTTTTTTATCGATTACAAATATCTAATATGATTTCTTTGTCTTCTTTGTCTATAAGTAGATAGAAATGGAAAGAACTGGCAATATTATTTATTTTGTACAGTGATTCCTGTCAGTATATTATAAAGTTTTAATATGTCTTTTATTAATACTTATAGTTGAAGCAATACTTTGCAAAAAGTTTAACTAGGATGTTCAGCTAGGCGAAAAGAATAATCAAAACTGTGTTCTATAATGCATATAGTCCTGAGAAGTGTTATAAAGGAAAATTGTATTTTGTTATTGAAATTTTTATATAATTTAGCACACTTTTATTAATTTATCTGCGTAATTCGAAACAATCCATATTGCTCGGAGTAGAGAAAGTTCGATGGATTTGAGGTATGTCAATATGTTTCTTAATTCCGAATTTAGAGTAAATGATAACTCAAATCGCAGCCTACCTACTATTTCTATCAATTTCAGAGACACGTAGCATATTTTTTAAGTAACAATGTTGCCTAACTTCTGTATCTGCGGCAGAAAAAGCACAAAAACTATTACAGGATACTTTTGGGTTGAACACAGTGATGTTGAAGAGAAAATCTTACAGTTAATCATTTGGGAGTCTTAATCAATTTGTTTTTACGAATTTAATCAGTTTAATTAGGTAATTTTGTTTCAAGTAAATAATTTAGCAATTTTCCATGGCCTCCACCAAAGATTTTAGTTTACAGTTTGTAACAAAATTAACGCACCACTAAAAGTGACTTTCATTTCAAAATTTACTTTGTCATGAACAGATAATTTGACTTTGATGATACAGGCTGGTTCAGTTTTAAATGAACAAAGTTCAAAGATCAGCAGAATTTCGAAAAATAATGTCAGTATTTTATACATTTTTTTTTATTTCAGGGCTTTAAAAGGGTGTTGAAGTTTTCTAAAAAATATAGACTCTTTTGTATAGTTGTAATGTCGGAAATATTTGGTATACAGTGTAACTAATTAAGGTGTTATAAAATGTTTAAGAATCAAGTACTTTCAATAACCAGTGGTACAGTTACGCTCACTTAATACGCTTAAGTTAAAAAAAAAACAGGTGTGTCATCCTGTATAATATTAAAATTGATGGCATTTTTAAACGTAGAGTACAATTTTAAACAAAAATTGTATTTTAACCTATTTTCGTATTATATGTTACGGTTATACAACAAATTTTACTTTTTTCATTTATGTCACCAATTCACTTATTTGCCTGTTTTAATAGCCAAAGCGGAAAAATTTGTATCTATGGTAAAATTATCTTTTTTATAGGTTTAGAAGTAGCACCTGGTTTGTATTCTGAAAAAAATATTAAAAGTGAATTTTTTAGTTTCTGAATTGGTAGTCATAAAAAAACTAATGATTTTTGTAACACAGAAGATTTAATAAGTAACATCTAACTAAAACAAAATAATTTAAATTTACAGTAAATATAATTCAGAATAGTTGGTCAAAATGTGAGATGACCATCTAAACAAGTCCAGCATCGCTTGAGTAAATTATTCTTAAATTCGTTCCTCGACTGTATTTACCGGTGGCGCATAGTTATTTTATTTTAAACTGGGCTATAAGAAATAATCTAATAGATTTAGATCGGGAAACCGAGTAGGCAGTGGTATGGGTCCATAACCTGATTGCACTGCGACTATTTGTCTATTTCTTGTACGCAGAAAGTCAAGATGTCGGTTAACTCTGTCGAGAATATACCAACAAAAATCGATCCTTTTTTCTAAACCATCTGGCGTCAGATTTTGTACGGGTTGCATGTTAATGATCACGTTTCAGTGTGTTAAACACTTTACTAATCACTTTAACTAAATGAAGAACGAATGTCCACCACCACATATTTTTTTCATTGTTTCTTCATAATATACAATAACTGTTATTGCAGTTTATCTGCAACTCCTTTGTTATTAGGTTTTTAACCTAGAGTACAGGTAATTTTACCATAGATACACATTTTCCCATTTAATTATATATTAAAACTGTTTTTGACAGGAACAATGAAGTAATGGAAAAAGTCAGATTCGCCATATAACCGTAACATACGAAACTAGGGCAAAGTAATTTCCGTTTAAAATTTAATTAAAAATGCCATTGGTTTTAATATTATACAGGGTGGTGCAACTTTTTTTTATAAATGGATGGTAGTAAGTGCCCATACTTCTGCCACTGGTTGTTGTTAGTGTAATTAATAATTATAAGTACTGTATACCAAATAAACCCCGAAATTATAAAAAATTAGATATACAGGCTGTTACAAATTCGCTTCTCGAAAACGGTAAGAGATACAAACTAGCTTAAATAGGGGCAAAGTTGCATAATCAGGGGACCAACATTATGTCTCTAAAAAATCTAGGCTAACATGATTAGTTTTCGAAATATTTGAAAAAAACCGAAATTTTGGAAATCCGTTTTTGTTTCATTTCAGCCTCTTACATTCTTAAGAAAATCAATGTTGATATGTTTATAAACACTTAGGTTTAGAAATAACAAATTTTCCGTTTTACTTTTATTATTTATTTTATTCATTAAACCATCGTCTTACACGGATAAAAAGAATTCTCGGCATTAAGAAATCGGATTATTTGAAGATATGTATTCAATTTAAACAAATATTGTTTGTTTTAACATTTAAAACTAAATTATCCTGAATAACACGTAGCGTTCTCCAGTTAAAATATAAAGTCTATTTTTCTTTATTTATTTCGATATTTTGCGACAAAAAAAATTATAAATGAAATAAATTCTTGAGCCAAAAGGCTTATTTTTTATGAGAATAGGTTTGTTTAACTAAAATTCACCTTTATACATTGGGAAAACGGTCATATAATAAACATTATTTGATGTCTGTCTGATGTGGAAACAAGCAGAAAAAAACAAATTTAAACTGTCAAAACTAATTTAAAACGAAGTGTTATTCCATGTTCTGATTGATTTTGGAAACGTCAACAACTTAACAAAGTGTGCGATATGTAGGGATGAGTATTTCAGTATTAAATTTATTTTCAGGCATTGTATATCAAAAGTTCTCTTCAAAGAATGCTTAACAGTTAACTTTATTCGATTCGACGAGGTGTGTTTCTTTTAATTCTTAGAAACATCTCACTCGCGGATAAAGACAAAATAAACTACTCTTGTATCAAACTGGAGAAATGTAAACATAATGAGAAATAAGCAGATAGCAGATAGTTAAAATTACCATGTTTTTGACAAACGCTCTCTGTGTCTGAAACGGAAAGAGATAGCACTCCGAGACGTGATTTTTCTTTAAAATTGTCAGAAAGCATACATCATTTTTCGATATAACCTAAAATAACATCGAATTTAGTCAACTCTGTCCAATATGTCCTATTTTATATAAACAGTACGTAACCTTGTGTCATGTCATAATAATTTTATTGCAGTTTCTTTATCTACTTCTTCTAGTTTCCTAGTTATCAATGTTAGATATAAAAAAGCCGATTTTACGAGACGCGTACTTCCCGAAAAATTCAGTGGAGTATATCTTTTATTTCTTCAGATATAGGTTAGTCTTTTTTCATAATGTACATGTATGTGACGACTAGGGTTACCCACCAAATGAAGAGCCAAATGAGACAATTTACACTTCATTTCTTGCCCTAACATCATCAGTCATAAACTAACATCTTATTTGCACTGCGATCACTTAGTACCACACACTCACTAACCTCTATCTCACCAGTTTGTACCTAACAAGTGTGTATTGATGTTGTTGGTTTTCTTTCCTTGCAGCTGAGAAAGAGGAAGAGAAGCCCGAAATCACTGAAATTACCGAATAACCTTGCCAACTCCCACATTACATTCTTTACCCCAATTATCTACACGCAAAAATTTATTTTGAGACTTATTATGTGCACATATTGTATTTTTTGATATATTTTACGTTCTGGAAAGCTATATTATATATACCATGTTGTTATTTTATTTTTGTTTAATTAATATAATATATCCTTACACAGTAATCAAGTTTTGTCAAAATACTTAACGAAAATCTAAAAAAAAAATGTGCATAATCCTGAGAAAATTGTAAAATTTTATTGTGTACCTTGTGTTTACGACACCCTGTAATGCATGGTATTGCATATAGCACTGTGTTCAATAAAATTTTATTTTGTTAGAGCATTGTTTTATTTTTTGTATATTGTATGAGCGTAGGTATTCACAAATTCACATGGGCGGCAAATATTACAAAAACAATAATTAATGTTTTTGCTATTACTTAAAATGTTTAAAAAGCGTAAAATAATTTAAAAAGGATATTACAGTTTATAAGGCTATGTACATATATTTGTACCTGCAAAAAACAGTAGCCTACTATATGTATGTATATATCTACTTTGATTTATAAATATTAACTTAAAATTACATTTGTTTAGTACTTTTTAAATAGAAATGAATAAAAGGATAATAAAGTATTAATATACCCAATATGAATATAATAAAACTGTTTTAAAATAAAAGTGACAAAATGTTATAATAATTTTATTAAAATTTCTAATTTAATTATCTTTTTTTAATTACAATACTTTTTTAATCAGAAGGATGCCCTTAAGGGAAAATCAATCACCTAATCAATGTTACATACTTCAAGGGTATAACCTAGAACCTAAATGGGGTCGATTTAACAAAATTTGCTTAAATGAAACAAAAAAAAGTTATAGTGTGTTAAAATTTCTTTTTTATTTCTTGTTTTCTCCTTAACTCAGAACCCAGCTAACCGATTTGAGTTAAATTTGATGTTGCTTAATATCTTTTCATAGTTAAATCATACAGGGCGTTCATTTTAGTACAAACTTTTGTGAATATTCTTCTGTAACTTTTTTGTACCTTTAAATTTTTACACGAAACTATCAGAAATATATAGGTAGAGAATTTTACTCTACACAAAAAATGTATACCTATCAAAAATAGAAATTATGCTCGGTTGTAAAGATATTACAGAAAATATTTATTAACACATACCTCATACTTTTTGGAAATAAGTACGTATCCCTAACAGCATGCCAATTTCGATAAGTCACTGTCAAGTTTGTATTTTGCAAAAGTTTGTTTCTGAAAATATCTCGTCACAATGCATTTACGAATAATGAAATGAGAGACGTGATAGTGATATATTATACAAGTACATTTTAGTGACGTACTGCTAAGAGGACATATGAAGAATTTTATCCGAATCGCAGACAGCCTTCTCATGCATTGTTTGGTTCTTAATTCACCAAATGAGGAAAAACTGGAAACTTTCGGTCTAATTCACGAAATAGAAGGTAAGTTCAAAGAAGGGTACAAGGCGAAGAACAAATTCCAGAAAGAGTAGAAGAAAATCCCGTAATTAGTATTCATCGTTTGTCAGCAGTCGCAGGAGTTTGCCGCAAAAATATTATTTTGGGGGCTGAAGCTTTAACTTGCAAAGTTGAATAGTCAAAATTATTTGGAATTTCTTCGGCAAGAACTTCTTGGGGCTCTGGAAGAAGATCCCATTAATACTAGACGACAAATGTGGTTCATGCACAATGGTACCCCTGCTCATTACAGCCATTTGGTGAGAGATCATTTAAATCAACCATTTCCAAACCGTTGAATTGGTCGAGGTAGTGACTTTCCTTGGTCTTCTCGCTGTCCGAATTTTAATCCGCTAACTTTTACTTTTGGAGTCATTTGAAAGGAATTGTATTAGGTGTTACAGAGAAGAAGTTTGGGATAGAATAAAAGACGCCGTACGACAAGTTAGACAAACGTATAATTCGTTTCCTAGTCTCAATAGCTTCATAAAACGTTTAAAATGTTATTTATTACGTTTATTATGGATATGTAGTTATTTCCAAAAAAATATGAGGTATGTGTTAATAAATATTTTCTGTAATATCTTCATAACCGAGCATAATTTCGATTTTTGATAGGTATACATTTTTTGTGTAGAACAAAATTCTCTATTTATTTCTGATAGTTGCGTGAAAAAATTTAAACCTACAAAAAAGTTACAGAAGAATATTCACAAAGAGTTATAGTAAAATGAACGCCCTGTAGGATTTAACCTAATAGGAACATAAGCACTGCATATTTCATGAAGGGAAACTAAGCAATAGCTTTGCTCAAATCGGTTAACTGGGTTCTGAGTTAAGGAGAAAACAAGCAATAAAAAAAAAACTTTAACACTGTAACATTTTGCGACATTTTTCGTTGAATTTCGTTTGATTAAAACGTCGCCATTTTGGTTCTAGATTATATCCTTGAAATATGTAACATTCGTTAGGTGTATTATACTCTAAAATGTAGACTTCGAAAATTCCTAATTTAGGGATTTAAGAAACTCGACGAGATGTAGCAGAAATAAAAAAGAAAATTAATATAAAATCAACCTTAAATATACATTCTAAGGAAGTTTCCCACAAATTTTGCTGTTCAGTGATGCGAACAGAATAATACAAAGCGTTAATAGAATTTACATTTTTATTATACATTATGAAACGGATTACAAAGTTATACCTAAAGTTAATTATTTCTACTTTGAAGCATTTTAATTATTGGAACGATTTTCAATACCAAACTTATAATATCAGTAATTGTGATTTGAGCTGATAAAGGTAAGTAATTTAAAACTTTTCATGCTACAATTAATTATGAAAATAATTTCGAAATTAGAAATTTTGTTAAATTTATATTTTCTGCTTTTTAATACCTGCAGTTGTTTAATTACTATAGTCACTATTTCAAGTAAGATAAATAAATAAATTTAATATTTTAATATAATTGCAGAAAATGTATTTATACAAAGAAAAATGTTCACTTAATTATGAAATTTATTGCTATTAAGTTTTCTTTTCAATTCAGTAGAGTTAATTCGAAATAGTCAAAATTAAAAATTGGAGAAAATTGATAAAACTTTCATATCCATCTTAGGATAATCAACAGAGGTTCTACGGGGTGCTAAATTGTTTCGAGGTTTGGTAAAGATTTTACTAAAAACCAAATTCTATGGTAGCGGTACTTGAATGAATGAACATGTAGTACTTTTCAGTTTTCTAGACATACAGGAGTGTCCGGTGCGTATTTGCAATTTTTTCTTTACTTTTACTATTGATGTTTGAGAAAATTATTAATTTTTCTATGCATTGTTCCAGCATTTCAGTTTTTTCCAGTTGACATATTTAATTAAGTCAAAATAAAAAATTTAAAAAACATAGGACTTTCATTTCTATCTTAAGATATCAACAGAGCTTCATCCTGGAGAAATCAAATTTCACAACAGTGGTAATTAAATGTATAATATCCCCTTTTTTAAATTTCGTAAATATAAAGGCGAATAATTTTTTCTTTACTGTCTTCTTGATTAATCCAGAAAGTAAAAATAATGATATGTACATATGTATGAAAAATATGTTTACACACACCTAACCTATAGCCTAACAAAATTATTGGGTGATTATATACATAAAATTTATAAGCATGCTTATTAAAGGTATTTAAGCACTTAGGTCAAAACGTTGCTCTTTTATTATTTGGCCTCCCTTCGTTAATCCATATTTTTGGTTTATTGTCACTATTTAAATATTATATTAGTCCAATAGAAACAACGACACCTTATTTTCTATTCTATTTCACGTATGCATTTACATCACAGACGTCTTGGTATATACATGTCTGACCTTAGGATATCGGTTCCACATCTGCCTCTTCAATTTCTACTTTGTGTCTCGGTAGACAATACAAGATATGTTCAGAAAATAACCTAACTTTATTTTTTTTACTGGATGGTCTTTAAAGTATGTGACGAATTTGCTTTGATGTCATCAGTAGTCTGAAAATGGCGTCCTTTCAGCACTGATTTTAATATCGGAAGTAAGAGAAAATCGTAAGGAACTAGGTCTGGTGAGTAAGAAGGGTAAGGGAGGAAAGTAATCTTATTTTTAGAACAAAATTGACGAATTGACAAAGCTGAGCCTGCGGGCGCATTGTCATCGTGCAAGAACTATGTCACAAGGTGACACAGTTAGTGTGACATTAGGGTTAGGGTGACAGACAACATGTGACAAGTTGTCTTGTCATAACTCTGGTGTCTTTTTGGGGATTTTTTCGCGTTAACCGTTGTAAAACCCCTTGATAGTACACACGGTTCACTGCTTCGGCTTAAGAATTCAAAATCACAATTCTATTAAATTAGAAACAACAGTGAGCATCACTTTGACATTGGATCGAGACTGATCTTGGGTTGCAGAACCTTTGCCAATTCATTGTAATAACTGAACTCAATGTCTTAGCCGCAAATCCAGCTTTCTTTCATCTCCCTTTATGATCTTCTGAAAGAATTTTTCATCGTCACTATATTGTTAAAGGAGTTGCCAACAACCGTCCATAAGATTTTCTTTTTGTTGCCCGGTCATCAAACGAATACAAATTTTGTGACACACAACATAGAAATCGACGTTTACAAAAATATACTACTATTCACTAGAAAATATTTTAGATTATATTAAATTTCAGTTAAAATATTTGAATCATGAAGAGAATTACTTATTTTGTCAGAATATCAACATTCACCCTACTTTCCCCCGCATACAACTCATACAGTTAAATGTTTCAGTGAAGAAATTTATTTTTATTTATTCAAGTTATTGAAAAATCAGTCAAAGATTAATACTACGGTAGACCACCAAAAATTAACTGCGAAGATCTCTCTTGGAAGATAGAGTCCATACCAACCAATTTTTTTCTTTTTGTAGAAATTATTATATAAAAAAAATTCTTTTAGGGTGTAACCTATGTAAATTAACAAAAAACAAATGAAATTTTGAGCCCTGAAGAGAGTGTCAGAAAACGTGGAAACATTGACAGCAAGTTGAAAATTGTGACTTTTTAAATATGATTCTTATACATAGGTATAAAAGATCATTAAAATTCAGAAAAATATACCTCTCTTAATTACATTCTTGAATTTTGAAGTTCCACTATTATTATTATTACTATCCATACGTTTGATAACTTCATTTAAATACATTTTCAAATTCAAATATTAATGAACATTTTTCTCAGTGTAAATTAACTTTCCATCAACTTTTGACTTACAATTCTTGCAAAAAGCGCAAATAAATTTAAACTTATACGTAGTGTATAGTGGAACGTTG